TTTTTTTTTTTTTTTTTTTTTTTAAAGCTGAATGTGGAAGCTGTGGTCCAAACATTAAAATTTTTCGCATTTGCAGTTAACTCCTGATCAAAGTCGGTTTCCTTCTCAGTGAAAATGAAGTTTTTAACTTTTTAACCGGCTTTTGAAAAGTTAAAATATAAAAACTTCATTTTGAATACAGTAGAAAAGTTAAAAACCACCACTACATGGCAGCTAATGGGACCAAGGGGTAAGGTTCCGCTTTTGGATTATGGACCAAAGGTAGGGTATGGTACCTAGATTAAACTGCCAGTACATGGCCCCGGCCTACTCCGAACTTTTCAGGGCTCGGGGCTACCGGACCACAATGCGAGGATTTCATCCCTCGGCATACCTGCATGTGGCCTTACAGAAAGCATGTGCCCGCCCGAAGTGAGCGCGGGCCCCCAACTCTCTTTTTTTTTTTTTTTTTTTTTTAACGAGGCCTGAATTCATCAATTTTACAAAGCCTTGGTGGGCGCCAGACAGTTGCCACGCGCCATTTGGTTACCTCCACCCTGCTCGTAAGAATCAGAAATATCCGTGAGCCTTCTATGCTCTTCCAGGAATGCTGAGGAAGCAGGGAACACCGGACGTTTGCGCCTGGGTGGGTGGGCACCCCTAACCAATTCGGTCCCAGGCCACTGTCTGAATGGGTGTGGGCGCAGACACTTTGGCCCAACTTCAAGCTAGAGGGCACACACACGGCCCAGGTAGGAAGCAAAGTGGGCAAGCACTTTCCATTAAGGAAAGAGCTTGCCACCGGGGAAGACATTCGGGCACTTGGAAGTGCGTGCGGCAGCGCTGCTGCAGCAATAACTCGAGCACGGGATGCTGGCGCAGGTGCTGGAGGTAGCGAGCACGGTCGTTAGGAGCAGGGCGCTGCAAGCAGGCAGCGCCATAGCTCAGCCCTACATAACCGGGCTGAGTTTGGATAGGCAGCGGTGGTGGTGGTGGTCTTCAGGGGTATTAAGGTAGTGGGGGGAGAAGTCGAGGGTGAGCATGTGAGGGCGACAGAGGAAGTAATGTGAGAGCAAGTACGTCGTCCTGGCGGAGGTCTTCATAGTTGACATCTGCATGTACTTCGGTTGCTGCTGCTGACGTCACCTGGTTGCTTGTCAATTTGTAGGCTAGTAGGGTATCTGTGTGATTGTAGTCTGGGCGCTTGAGCACCAAGCAGGAGGAAGAGCTTCGAATGCATTGTTGGTAGTGGCAGAAGAGTGCTTTCATTGACATTTGAGTTTGGTGCTTTGGTTCTCCTTCGGTGTAATATCAGTGCATTTCTGCTTTCTGGACAGCTTTCGACTGTCTGGCTTTCAATGTGATTTTGCAATCTGGAATTCTGTCTATTTCGCTGTTGCTCATTTTCCTCGCAATTTGGTATAGGAGCTGGTGCGAGCCACTCCGCTGGCTCCAGCGCAATAGCTGTTTGGTGCTTTGTCGAGGAATGGCAAGGCAGTGATAAGGCTTGTGCATTGGGAGATAGGCAGCCCTGTGTCGAGAGGGGGCGCCAGGAAGGCTATGTGGTGACATTGGTGTGCACGCTGAATGATGAGAGCTTGCTGACGTGGCATTTAAGCCGAGGTGGAACTGCATTCTATTGTGGGTTGTGCCGAGGTACCGACCGGTCATCATAAAAGCACTTCAGGAGGTTTACTGGTGAGAAATCTGTGATTGGGGGCAGCATTATGGAGGTATGTTGCTCATTACCTTATCTACCCTGTTCGATAGTTCTTACCGTGAGGAAGTGTGCCTTGTCTTGAGAGTCCTCTCATAGTGAGGCATCGCAAGCGCCCAATCTTGAGAGTTGACAATCTTCCTGGGGAGCATGCTGGTGTTGCCTCTGAAGGCCCTGGAGGGAGCACTTGGGTCACGGTCACCATGCCAACCCACTGGGAGTAGAGCACACATGCTTTGTTGTTGAGTCCTTCGGTCTGCTTTGCTGCGCTTTATAGGTCGGGTTGGGCAGGCCAGCCCTATGGGGGAGAGACGAATACAGGACCGTCTATAAAGAGACTCCAGCGGGGATACACAACTTGCACTGTGCACGAGTATAAAAATAGTTTGAACAGGGCTGGCCGGTCTTGCATCGACTTGGGGCACAAGGGTGGGCCGATTGCACACCTTTAGACACTGCTCAACCACAGCTTTCGGGACGTTGACATTAAGTAACAACTCAAGAAAGATTGAGGGGGAGGGTGGATGCCAGTTAACTGCTCAATTGTCAATTATTGTGTTATTTCCATTCAGCTTGCATTCCAGCAAACGATTTTATTTTTATCTTTGATTAGTTAGGTGTTATGGACATTGCTGACAAGACATACTGTAGCAGGTAGAGTAGTAATTATTCTTTGCTGCATTGCAATCTGTTTCAGACTAGTCAAAATAAGAGTAGAACTGTTTGAAGCCGTCTGAGCTTATCTGCTGTTACCACTTGACTACTTTCTGATAATATCTGGACCGGATAATTATTTTATTTTTATTTATTTTAAGAACCGGTTGGATGCCACGTAGCGGTTGGTCCAGCGAGGACAATAGTGCAGATCGCATGCCACACATAGCTCACGAGTGAAGATGACAGTGAGGTTGAGAGACTAGACCAGGACGATAGGAGGCGTACCCGTAGAGAAGCACTTCGTCGGCCGACCACTTTCTTGGTGCTAGAACCAGGGGAGGAAAGGAGACTGCGTAGAGAAGTTGAGGGGACGAGACGTTTGCAGAGAGCCTAGGCAGCAGCAGCTAATGCAGAGAGCATTAGCAGCTGCAGCAGCCGCACATGCTAGAGCTGAAGCGGAAGCAGCAATGGCTACCTCCTCTGCAATGTCACAGGCCTCTTCTCAGGCCTTGTAMAAGGGCCTKTTTCTCAAAAAAAAAAAAAAAAAAAAAAAAAAGCCCTCTTCGTTAGGTGTAAGTCACAGTATGTCCCAGCCTTTCGTCAGTCAGTCTGCTGGCTCACAGGCCAGCCAGCAGCAACCCATGTCAGCGGAGGATATTGAGATCCAAGAAACGGACACTCTTCACAACGAGTTACAGTGCCATAACTACACGATGTAGAGGATAGGAGAGCGAACGCTAGGAGGAGGAAAGCTGGACTAGAGGTTAGCAGGCAGGAGCTAAGTAGGTTGGAAGCTATTGATGAGTCAGCACTTGGTCCTACTGTTAAGTCCCTTTGGTGCAGTCTTTTGAGTGTGGCTGAAGTACAGGCCGTGTAGCAGGAAATGCTGATAGCTGGCCATAATGAAATTCTGGCTGCTCTCAGAGCGCCTAGGCCTATGGCTAGGTCAGCACAACCTGCTGTAGCTCCTCCTGCAGTTGCAGGTCCATCGATGACGCTGTTGGCGCCTGCCGCCCATGAGAGTTCCCTTTATCCCAGAGTTTGGCATTAGTCCAGCAGGCGGTACATCAGCAGGTATCAATGGTCAGACTCTGGGACCATCTTCTCCGGTCCCCCGTCCAACCGCTGCAGGCAGCCGCATGTCCAGCAACCTGTGCAACAGGTGC